CAGTTGCACTTCTAAGTTAATTCTACTAGCAGGGGATGGTGCTGTTGGGCTACCAAATTTCTTACATATTCTCCATGGCAGCACACAGATTTCGAAGCCAATTGTGTGAGAGCCAGCTGCCAAATAACTGGGAAACGCATCCTTGCCAAACATCTTAACCCAGTGCTGTTTAATCTCTCTACTAACCTCCACCCCACAGCCTTTTCTGGCACATGCAAGCAACATAAGAAGCTGGTAAACAGAAGGAACACAGAGTAGTAATTTGAAAATATGCATAAAATTTCTATAGCATGCTTTTTACATCTTGCTTGCAGAGCTATCCTAACAACAGTGCCCATCACACACTTGGCAACATCCACGCAGGGTGGTGGTAGTATCCTGGGAAGGCAGGGTTCTCCCCTGTGCTGCAGAAGGGAATGGACATCAAGGGGGAATGTGACTTGCCTGAGGTTAGAGCAAATGTGCACCACATGCCAACAGCAGCAAGGGACTCCAGATCCCATTTCTGTGCTCTAATAGTCCAGCAGACTCTCTGCAGGATCTTGGGCTGTGGTGCCTGCTCAAGGACACGGTGTTTCTGATGTGTGCATCTGAAAGTGAGCTTTGCTCCCTGCTGGTATCAGCACTGCACTGAGATAGATTAACTTGGACAACTGGGATCTGCCCTAGGCCAAGACAGCAATTGGCAACTTTTCTAGTCACTGCTTGTTTTCCTTTTCCTGTCACTCAATCTGGTGCCCAGCTGGGCCCTTCCTTTCTTCAAAAGCATCTTCATGTTTCTGTTGAGTCACATACAGGACGCTGTACTTTTCAAGCCTCCTGCATACCACTGTACAGCTTGCAGGCCAGCCTGAGGACAGACTGCGTGGAAAGCGAAGGATTCTGCTCAGGATGCCAGAACAGTGTGTCAGCCAGCACACAGCACACAGAGCAGGTGCCTTTTGGGAAAGCAGCTGGAGACACAAACCAGAAGCAGCTGAGTCCACCTTGTCCATAGGGCTGTCTATGCAGCAAGCCTGGCTGCCTGTTCTTGCAGTTGCAAGGCATTTGCAGACAAGACAGCCAGAACAACAGAGCAGACCCAATGGCCAAGCATATATATGTTGGGGGTAGACATGCAGCAGTGTCAGATATGATACATTGGCTCTTTCAAGGGTTGGCCTCAAGATATGCCCGATAAGACATCAAATGAGCCTTTGGGATGGTCACCTGGACATCAGTCTCCTTTCAGCCAAAGTTTATTTACATCCACCAGAAAAGCAGACTAGACCATGCTATCTAAACACCTTCCTCAACACCAGGAGGATGTTCCTCCTCAGACATCTGGAAATGGGGAGTTTGCAGACCGGAGAGACAAGCGTTGAGTGCTGAGACACTGGAGTTCAAAGCCAGCTCACATTAAAGGGCAAAATTAACATCTGATAAAAGGAAAGACCTTGCTTAAACTCAAGTAATTGGTGCCCAAAATTACATAAAATCCTAACAAAAAGCCAGTCTGGCTTTAAGAGGCATCAAATGCAAATTCCTTTGTGGAGGCACCAGCATCAATCCTTAAATCCTATTTACATGGTAATTTAGATGGACAGCAATGCAGCCTTTCATACTCCATGGTGCTCCTCCCCTTGGTATTCTGTACAACTTTGGACTGAAAATGGGGCCTGAGAAGACCATCTGGTTTGGTGCAAAGGCTGGAACAAGTAACAATTTGCTTTCTTGCATGCAATCTGCATTTAGGAGAGTGCCTAGGAGCTCTGCAGATTTTAGGGCTTTATAAAACTGCAACAGAGAGTGAGGATCCATGCTTTTTGCTTTTGCGCTCTCCAGGCCATGGCAGCAGAGACTGGTCTAAGGAAAGCAGTGCCAAGAACAGCCACGTATCTACACACATTCCCAGGAAGTCACCAGTGTAACCTCCAACACGGGCACAAGAACCTTCTGGCTGAAACAAAGGTCTGAACACGAGACCAGACAGGGAGACCCAGCCCAATCTGTGGTTTTAATACATACTGACAGGCTGTCCACCATATTCTAAAATGAGCCAACAGAAATGCCCCATGGTCATAACCAGCTTAAGGGGCTGCGGTTCAGAAGGGTTAGTGTTCAGTTTCCTATGATAGCCACATGTGCATTGCCTTAATCCATTCAGCCTTCCATTCAGCCCCTACACAGGTAACTACTTTTCCCCACCCTTTCTACTTTATCCCCCTAATAAAATATATGAACACAAAGCATAGAGAGGAGAAGCCAAAAATTTGCCATTTTATGGTCCTGTACTGTCATGCCAAACTAGCTGTTTGTGCAACAAACTTCTTCTGTGCACAGGGAAAAACACTTGGCTTGTGCTTCTGTCTGTATTTGGAGGAAGCACTGGGTGCAGTCAATGTTTAAATTAATCTCCCTCTGTCCTAGGGACCCTTACAGTTTGTGCTGGAAGCGGGTGCACGTAACACAACACAAGAGGCTGAGGGCCGCTATAAGGTTGCAGGGTTGAGGAATGCCTCAGGGCACATGGCAGGCAAAAACCAGCAATAGGGGCAATAAAAGGACTTGGTTGTGGTACCATGGGACAGTGGTTATTAGGGAAGTCTGTCCTCCAGAGGGGAAGCATTAACCCTGGGAGAGTCTCAGCAAGCTTCATTCTGTCTTAGATCAAAGGTGATGGCAGCATGACAGAGATCTGTGGGACCTGCAGTCCTCCATGGCTGACTCATGTGAACAGAAGCCTCACTGCTCTGGCAGACACACCGAAACGCTCTCAACTCCTGAGCAAGGGCTGTGGGAGAGGCGGACTGTGTGCAGCCAGGCTGGAAGGCACAGAGACTGGCCCAGGAAGATAAATGGGATGAAGACATTGCATGGTACCAATGCTGAACTGCAAAGTCCCACTTTAGAAGAGTGAATGTTTAAAGAGACTCAGTCATGTCTTATAGGACTTGGTTTGACTATGGCATTTCTCTTAGGTTTTGACTACATTCCCCATTTAAAAAAAGACTCCTCAAGGAATGTTTTTTCCCTTTTATCTTTTCTCGCTACACAGCTCTTCCCCCACCTCCAGACAATTTGCTAACCTCAACTTGAGCTAACATTGGAGAGGAAAGCAGGCACACAAAGGAAGAAGCAAAGAACTGGGGACCTGATACTTAGTGCTTCTTTAGAAGCATTTTGGAAATATTCCCCCTCAGCATTACAAGGTGGTGAGAAAGGGAGAGGAATTTGGCTGAGGAACACTATTCCTAGAGGAGCAAGTTAACCAGCACTTCCGCATGAGAAGGCAGAGATGCTCAGCAAACAGCACCACTCAATCCTCTTTCTATAGCCTGGAGCCGGGGTGGCAGCTGGCTGTCTTAGAGGGGCAGGCAAACACAGCAAACACAGTTTTAACAGTTGCCCATAGCAGGTAGTGAATAAAGCCCAGGAATCTTGTGTGCCTGCTTTTTGGCTCAAACTGTAGATGGTATTGTGCTTTGCACTGCACAGAGTGAAACCCCAGGATGTTAGATAAATCTCCTAATCATGATGAGGACTTCTTAAAGACTCAGCTAACTTCCTGCAGATTTCAGATGGGGGATCTGTTTGTCTGGGTGGAGCTCAGGCTCTGTCTTGTGACTTAGGAATTCTGATGGCAAGCTCAGAATTGCCCTTCTTTTTTCCCTTCCCCAGGCTATAACGCAAATGATGACCCAAGGGAGGTGATCCTTTCTCCTGGCAGGGCAGAAAAACACAGTCATGCCTGTGGCAAAATATTTCCACACAGAGAAATGTGCCAGCCCATCCCTCACCTGAGCCCTACATATGCTGAAGCCACCAGTGTAAAACTGGCCAGGGAGAGAACACATTTCCTAACTCCAGAAGTTATTCTGCATTCAAAACAATCTGCTGGTGAACTGGCAATTCTGTCCAGCCACCTAATGTAATGCCAGGTTTCCTGACTATTCCAGCACAAATAAACACAATTGCTCCTGACACGGGACAGCTCTAACACAGACCAAGCCTGGTTCATAAATGGGCAGAGATGGGATAAACAGTAGATTCCTCTCATGGGTTTTTTTCAGCTGTAGCTGTTCATAAGCCTGCTGTTGCTGAAAACTTGTTTAAAGTCTGACAGCACCACACAGATGCCTTCAGAGTTAACAAATCTCTCCCACCGACACCAAGAGACACTGTCAAAAGAGTATCGATGGTCCAGCACTGTAAAAATTTGCTTTCTTCAACTAGTTTTTTCCAGCACTGACCTTCAGACTGTACAGCTCTAGTCATGTCTTGTGCAGGACTAATTTTTTCTTAGTTGAACAAAGTTTAAGATTTTTGGAAGCATATGAGTCTCACAGGAATTGAGTACAGGCTGAAGTCAGTACACACGACTGAACTGAACTCAGGAGTATGGTATTCTTGGGCTAGGACTGAATCCCTGAAGAGCACAGATGGATGGCAGATCGAATCTGATGTGTTTGGTGATAATTTAATGTGGACCTAAGGGCAGATTGCATTGGCTATGTGACACAACAGCTCTAGCTAGTACTGATGCACAGTGGAATGCCACCTACTTGTCCTCTTCACAAGTGAATGAATTGTGCCATGCTAGTCCTGGTTAGCCTTGCCATAAGAAAGGATACCCTGCTCTGTTCCCATTCCTGTGCCCCAGTTACGGTATCATTTTGGTTATGCAAATGAAGCTGGTTTAGTGAATGAATTTATAATTGACTTCCTCTCACCCGTAAAACCCCCTGACACCTCAGACTCATCTCTCACCTTGCAGATGGATTGGTTTCAGTGGGCATGGTTAACTGCAGCCCCATCTGACCCTTCGCATTCTGGAATAGACACCTTACAAAACATCTCTAGTGCCTACACAAACCAAGGGGGAATCTCTGGACCCCTCTGCATTTGCTCTCTAGACCAGTCAGTTCTGCCAGGCACTGCCTGGCACTTTGACCAACTTATCTTTTTTTTTTAACCATAGTTTAAAATAATTTATCAACCAATCATAAAATGAATTTTTTGGTTTCTCCTGGCTCCATGAACACAAAGAGGTGCACGTCCTACCATAGGAGGAAGCAATGGCTGTTAAGTTTTACAGTTATAGTGGAAAGCACTGATCACAGCCTGCCGGCCTCACTACTGGATGTGACAGGCGGTGGAGGAGGTGGCTTGGCAACACATGCAGGTAGGGTTGACCGATTTAGGGGGAATTAGGTCGAGGTCCTCATCATCTGGAATCTCATCTAACCGGTACCCATCCTTTAGCAGCTGGATGTTCAAGTCTTGGTTGATCTGCTACAGACAAAGAGACACACAGTCAGATACTTGACACTTATTTATTCTGATGAAGGAGACCCCTTATTCTGAAACATATTTTCTCATAATTAGCAGCTGTCCCACCAATGAGAGTCCCAGTTTTTGACTACAAGTGAGGCCTGTCTTCTGTTGTTCTAGCTTCTTCCAGAACAGGAATATTTAGAGTGAGATATTCCAGTGTAGCAAGCCAATACACTATTTTATTCTGGAAAAATCTTTCCATGAAGACAAGCCCCTCATTTAAGTAAAAAATAATGTTAATAAAACAACTGACATCTGCGCAGTCCCTCCTTTCAGACTGGGGCACACTACTGAAAGGTGGTATAGCCTCTTGGTTCCTTGTAATCTCAGATTCAGGTGCTGTCTAGCCAGATCTGGGTGAATAACACTTCATCAGGGCCCAGATATAGCCCAGATGATTTGATCTGTTCTCTGCTCTTGGTGCTCCTCTGTGTTTCAAAGGTATTTTGCCCAAGGAAAGGATACAAGGGGAAAGATTTCCCAGCAGCTTGTGTGCAGAATGGCTGCTCAGTGCCCTGGATGTAAAACCAGATCCTGCTGAGCAGAGATCCTGAGTCAGAGGCTGAGCAGCGAATTCATGAGAGATCTTGGGAATATATTCAGGAACAATGCAGAGGGACTAACAAGCCTAAGCTTCCTGCCTTGTCTCTTTGAAAGGGCAAGAGTTCATATCTGCAAGTCCTCCCTGAAATTTCTGCTTGCTCCAAGTAAGCACGCACTGGGTGACCCTGACCCCTGCAAGAACTGGGGATCGCAGCACGCCCTCGGATCCTTTATTTGTGTCCTTGGCAAGCATACGGTTGCTGAGCTGGCGTGACAGACGAGTTGATGCTTTTGCACCACATGAGCCAATGCTACAGGATTAAGCAGAACTTGGGAAAGCTTGAGTGAAGCCAAAGGTAGCTGTGAAAACAGCTGACAGGCAGATGTGTATCTGTTTCATGGCAGCATGGGGATGGAGCCAACTGCATCTCCAGGGAAGAAAGAAACATGACACAGTTTCTGCCATGGCCCCTTCCAGGCTCACAGAGTCTACACCATGGTAAATTCCTTATGTAGCCATTTTTGGTAGCACGAGACCATTCTAAGCTTTTTGTGACTGCTCTACTATTAGCATTCATGGCAAGGATGGCAGGAAAGAGTATAGCTCACCTCAGCTGATGAGTATCCCGAAGAGGAGTATCTGGACATGTCAAAGTCATCATCACTGCAAAGAAGGAAACAGAGAGACCTGTATTCCCTGGTTTCCCCTATCTCGTGCCATGAAGCTGTCCTTTAGGCACAGCGAAGTTACATCTAGGGCGTTTGGAGAGCAACTCTCATCTGTGACCCTCAGACCTTCCCAACAAAGAGCTCTTTACTCATGTCTCTTCCTACTTGTGTACACACACAGGCCAGTTTTGGCATATGCTGAAGGGCACAGCATGGAAGAGTGAGAGTGGCCTGCAAGAGTGGTTTCAG